TCGTTACTGCCTGTCGGGGACTAGTGGTGCAGGGGCGCCTCGGAGCGAGTTACGGGGCCGTCTCCTTAGGCGAGGAGTTTGCAGCGTGGGGAGGGATCGTGTACAGGAAGGTGATGTTGAATTCTCTGCTGTTCCTAAGTGTCAGGAGACCTGGAGATTTACCGAGGAGCCAGGTGGTTCTTTAACTGAGGAACACGCTGCTGAGAAGATTATTTTACCCCTCGTAATGTCTTTGTTCCCTCGTCTTGATTTTGGTTTCTTTCTGGCCGGCAGACCACCAAACAGAAGAAGAAGACCGGCGTCATGCTGCCGCGCGTTGTCTTAACACCGCTGAAAGTCAACGGGGCGCACGTGGAGTCTGCCTCGGGTGAGCGCGGCTGTCGGGAGGAGGCTGGCTCGTGACGGCGTAGATGGCTTTTGACCAGCCTCCCTGCTTACCGTGCGTTTGCCTGAGGGTTTCTTTAGCGCCCGGTGAGAAAGCACGTGGCTGCAGAGCGCTCTGTGTGTGTGTGTGAGTCCGTCAAAGTGGTTGGCACTTGGGCAACGCCCTGTAACGGTGGCTCTGTTGTCGGCGGGTAACTCCTGTGCGTTAAACCACTCTCCAAGTCGGGCTTCTGCTGTTCTTTGCCTATTTTTGTGATATTGTTTTGCTTTCAGGCTTCACGGGAAGGCATGCTGATGGGGAGAGCAGCAGCACGTCCAGCAGCAGCAGCAGCTCTTTGGCCCTGTGCAAAGCCACCTTGCGTAGCAGAACAGAAATAAACAGGGATCCTCCGCAGCTCCTGAGAGGCATCCGAAAGCCCTCGGCTGGTAGGTGCTTCTGATGAAGGGTGGAAGGATAATGGGCCGTAAAAGCGGGCGATGCCCCGGTCTGTGCCTGCCTGAGAAGAGAACACCAAGGTTCTCGTCCTTCAGAAGGCACCTGACGGTCTCGAGGCTCACAAGCCAGACCTTCCTCCCTGTGAGACAGTAGTTTAAGTTTGCCCGCTCTGAAGAGCGGCATCGAGAGTTGTACCAGAATGTGACAGAAATGTCAGAATTCCTGGTGCATGTTAATTAATCAGCGTGTTCGAGAGTCCGTCTTCGTACTCGAGTACTGCAGTCTTTTCTCCTACGGCTTGCTCCTTCTCCTGTAGCAGCCGGACGTGAGTTTCTGGCCCGTGGTGCTGGAATGCTGTCATACAACAGCGTTTGTTTTACTCGCCTGTCCTTAAACTACAGGGCAAATGAAGCGGAACAGGGGCGAGGACATTGACTTTGAAACACCCGGTTCCATTCTCGTCAACACCAACCTGCGAGCGCTGATCAACTCCAGGACCTTCAACGCGCTCCCGTCGCACTTCCAGCAGCAGCTGCTTTACCTCCTGCCCGAAGTGGACAGACAGGTAGGAGGGTGCAGCACGAGGGCGTTTTCCACCCCCCGCCTTGCCTCTGGGCTGCGGCAGGGCCGGAGCAAACGGTTTCGGTTTGTCCCGTCAGGTGGGGGCTGACGGGCTGATGCGCCTCAGCGGCAGCGCCCTCAACAACGAGTTCTTCACCCACGCGGCGCAGAGCTGGCGGGAGCGGCTGGCCGAACTGTTGGTAGTGGGTTGTGCCTCCCCGCCTGCCTGGCCGGGGCTCGCTTTATGGCGTTTTGTGGGGTTTCTTTTGCAGTTAACGAGCGGGAATTCGGTCCGGCTTTGCAGCGTATCTGGCTCTGTTGCCCTCAACTTTTCTTCTTTTTTTCCTTTTTTCTTTCCTTGAAACTCCAAGCTGTGTTTTCCTTCGGTGCCGTGGGACCTTCAGAGCGAAGCGGTGGAGGTGTAAAGTGGCCGGGGCTCGCTTTATGGCGTTTTGTGGGGTTTCTTTTGCAGTTAACGAGCGGGAATTCGGTCCGGCTTTGCAGCGTATCTGGCTCTGTTGCCCTCAACTTTTCTTCTTTTTTTCCTTTTTTCTTTCCTTGAAACTCCAAGCTGTGTTTTCCTTCGGTGCCGTGGGACCTTCAGAGCGAAGCGGTGGAGGTGTAAAGTAGTGCCAGAGTTCAATGGCAGCCTGTGCCTGGTCAAACGTGGTCTTTCCTTTGCTTGAGGCCGTGTGAGCGCAGCCCCAAAGGAGTCGCAGGCAGCGCGCGGCCCCGAGCAGGGCGCGGGCAGAAAACGCGTCCTTCGCGCACGGCCGCCGCGCTGCTAAAGCACGGGAGGTTGCGTTTGCGGAATCGGTTTTGCCTGGAACTGAGTTTCAGTCTCTTGCTTCCGCGTAGGTGAATTCACCCATGAGATGCAAGTTCGGATCCGGCAGGAGATGGAAAAGGAGAAGAGAGTGGAGCAATGGAAGGAGAAGTTCTTTGAGGACTACTATGGACAAAAGTGAGACATTTCACCTCATCTGTCCTGTTTTATCTGTGTGTGTGCAGGCGGCAGAGGGTGTTTCTGCTTGCGGATGCCTGAGAAGGTGCGGCACAAACTCCTCGACAGAGTAACGGGTTGTGGGGTGAATCGTTCAGAGTGTTGCTCCAGGGGAATCCTCAGTGGAATCGACCGGGCGACGGCAGCGTTTCGTAGCCCGTCTGTTTTGTTTCCAAGACAAATCAATATTGCTCATTTTCCGTCACAAATCTTCACTTTTTCTTATTTTCCTCGTTCCCTGTGAGAGTAACGTTAGGGTAGCAAATGTGCAGGTGTCTCGTCGCCGCCTGGCGTAGCGAGGTTCGGGTGAGCCTCTGCTCTGTAGCCTGCGCGTCACTGCGCACGGTGGCGTGCGGGGCAGCTGTAAGCGCATGAAGTGCTTCAAGTAGGAAGGGCCTTCGCTCTCAGCTGGTCTCTGTTTGCCTCGTAGGTTGGGCTTGACCCAAGAAGAGTCCCAGGAGCAGAATTCGGTGCAAGAAGACGCCGAGAACAGGACGGGACTGGCTGTTAAAGGAGAAGCCAGGCTGCCGCGCGGTCCTGCTGCCCGGCAGAGAGACGGGCACTTCAAGAAGCGCTCCCGAGCCGACCTGCGGTGCAGAGCCAGGCGGAGCCTCTACAAATTGCGGGAACCCGAGCAGACGGAGGCTTCCAAAGAGGCTGCTTCCGTGGGCCCCGATTCCTCTCTCCGTAAAGAGGCGAAGCCCGAGCTAGACCTGAAGAAGGATGACCTGACCGGCCCCTCGGCCGCGGCGCTGAAGCCGGAGAGTTCGGAGTCGCACCTCTCGGCAGAGGCTTCCAGATTGCACAGTCAATCGGAAGATCCGTCGCTGGCCGCTGCAAACAGAATTCCCGGGTTGCCCCAGGAGAACTCCGCTCGGGAGGCCAAGGACCAGAAGAGGAAATGCTTTGAGGAGGCTGCCTCCGCGTCCTTCCCCGAAAAGAAGCCCCGGCTTGAAGATCGTCAGTCCTTTCGTAACACAATTGAAAGTGTTCACCCAGAAAAGCCACAGCCTACTAAAGAGGAGCCCAAAGTCCCACCCATCCGGGTAGGAAAGCGCATTATAGCTGCTCGGTGTCTCGGGGCTGTCATGCTCAGTAGCATCAAAACATTATTAAAATGTCAAGTGTTGTCATCTGAAGAGGAGCGGCGGCCGGGTTTCATTGGTGGAGCTGGCTGAGAGCCTCTCGTTACCACCGCTGGCTCTCTTCTGTGGGCAGGCAGAGAATGGAAAATCATTCCAAGGTCTTTGCAGGAGCGCACGGGGTAACCTTGACTTGCTCTGGTAGTTTGCATTTCTGCGGGTACAGAAATCGCTTCTCCTGACTTGCTGCCAGGGAGACCTTCGAGCCGCGTTCTTTGTCCCGCGCGGCCGCTCGGTTCCTTTGCTTTCGGGCAGAATCTCCGTATTCCTTCCGACTTTTCCTGTTTGGGCTGGAGGAATCCATCTTGTTAGCGTCAGGGTAGTCGTCCTGACGCAAAGGAGACCATTTTGGTTTCTGAGGAGCTGAGTGCAAGTCACTTATTTCATATTTGCCCGTGGGCTCTGGGAAAAGAACGTTAATATTAACTGAGCGTTCCGTGTCGCGTGGCAGAGCGCCGAAGCGGAGGTTAGGGGGCGCATGCTGCTTCTCTGCCAAAATCCGTTTTTAAGTTGGAATTTTAAACGTTGGTTGAATCCTTGTGCTAAGAATTGGGACGAACGGCTGCTGGTAAAACGCGTTCCTCCGCCTGAAAGCGGTCAGACAAACTAATCGCTTTTCCCTTTCTTTCAGATTCAACTTTCACGTATTAAACCACCCTGGGTGGTTAAAGGTCAGCCCGCTTACCAGATATGCCCCAGGATCATCCCCAACACGGAGCCCTCCAGCCGGGGCAGGGCCGGGGCCAGAACCCTCGCAGACATCAAGGCCCGCGCTCTGCAAGCCCGAGCCCAGCGCGAAGCTGCCGCAGCCGCCATCGGGGGTGGGGGCGGCCCAGGCGGAGGGAGAAGCCCGGACGAAGGAGGTGGCGGAAGAGAACCCGGCGGCCGCTCAGAGCACAGGAGATCGAAGAGAACTCGTGGAAAGCGTTCGTCAGATCTACAGCGAGCACAACTACTGTCGTCTCGCCGTCTGAACGGGGAAGAGGCGCGCGCCGAGGGGGCTGCCCGGGAGGCCGACGCCGGTTCCTGCCTCTCTTCCAGACCAGAGCCCTTTTCTCCCGAGGGCGAGGGGAGCGGTGATCTGCCGGGCGCGGCGGGCGCTGGCTCAGGGGAAGCTCAGCCCGGGGATGGTTCGCCTGGGAGGCAGCTCCGTGGTGCTTTGGCTGGGTCGTCCTTAGACAATGCAGCTTCGGAGAAGCAGGAGGAGAGCCCCGAGCAGCTCCTCCGCCACCCAAGGACCGAAACCCCGTCTTGTGGTGCACCGCAGGAGAGGCAGAGCACAAAGCTGAAGCGCGCGGTTCCCCCGGTAAACGGTCTGTCGTGTTCTCAGGTGCAGGGAGCCGCGGTCAGTCCTGTGGGAGGCAGGGCCGGGGCAGGCTCCCGCCGTGCAGCTGGGCCGTCGCTCTGATGTGGAGGGGAGCTCCTCCGGCGGTCCTGCTCCTCTGCCGGAGTTCTCGTCAGGGGGTAAAGAGCGCCGTGAGCCAGAAACGGTGCCGAGGTTTAGATTTAATGGCTCTGAAACGGTTGTGGGAAAATGCGTGGCCGACGGCGCTGACTCCGAGGCGGGGGGGGCTGGAGCGGGGGGAGCGGCCCCTGCGCTGCGCGGCTTCGCGCACCTGCAGGCGGAGGAAGAGGGCGACGGCGAACGAAGCGGCGAGGAAGAGAGCGCGGAGCCTCCGCTGAAGCCCTCTCCGCGGGGCGGCTCTGTTTCCCGGGGCAGGATAGACGCCTCTGGAACACTTCTGCAGCGGAGGGAGAGGGGCCCCAGAGCAGAACCAGAAGACGCACATCGGGCACCGGGAGAGACTCGGGAGCTCAAGGCGGGCGGAGAC